CACTTTATTTTTATTGTTTTTGCTCACTTGCACTATACGTACCAATATTAATATAATTTAGCTGTGGACTGTAATTGCAGCAATTCCAATGGCTTATCCAAAAGAAGCCAATCCGTATCGCGGCTCGAAGTGACCAAATGTTAAGTCCGCACTATAGGGACTTGGGTGGTTGGCAGGTACAGTGCAATAGATTCTCCCAATAGAGTCAGTACGCCCAATGCGTACTCGTGAGCAAAAAAGAAATAGAAATAAAACACAATATGTTTATTAAAAGGTTGTCGACCAATGCCGATATTTATTTGTTGGTAAACGATATTACCTTATTAGCACAACTATATGTGCGTAGCTTACAATTTAAGCGCTAGTGATCACAACAATATGTGTGGCCAGTAGGTTACAACGAAAGTTCAAGTTAATAATAATGTTGTTTGTTGACACATAGATGCCTAAAGGTGGCGCAATAGCAAAATGTAAACAAAAGTCCGTTGAAATCTGTCAGCCTCATACTATTACAAGGATGTAATAATGAGGAGTAGACAGATTTCAACGGCTACGACCTTTCAAATTAAAGGCAAACTATTTAACTATTTTACACATCGATTCTTGCTTAAACAGAGTTCTTAAAGGATACCGAAGCCCAGCGGGACTTCTTATAGAAGACCAGAGGGTATTATTATAGAAGACCAACGACTTATAGAAGACCAACGACTTATAGAAGACCAACAATACTTCTTACAGTAGTGGTTTTCTTATAGAAGTCGAAGATGCCTTTATTTAGAATAACATGAGGTTCTTGTTTTAGAAGAATAATGTATCTTTTTATAAAAAAATCGATATGTATTTTTACCTAAAAAATGTATTCGTATGGAAGTTAGAAGGGCATCTAATATCAAAAGTTGTACCCATTGTATACCAAAACCATTTCTTATAGAAGATCCTGTAGAATACCGATTGTTATTCACATTGAAGGCGAAAAGTTCCTTCAATCAACCCTCAAATTAAACACCATCTAATACTGTTAAAATTCATTAAATTCAGCATTGGAACACTTAAGCATTGAATCTACCATTATCTGATTAGAAATGCATTGTTTATCCACTTCAGAGTTGTGACTCACTTCGATGGTTAAATAACTAATAACAATTGTGTTTATAAAAATGCACGTGATATGATCGATTAATGTATAAATGAAACTGTGTCGGTATGTTTGTAATATTGTACTTACAGAAATCAGCCTCTAATACTAGTTTGTAAATTTAAAATTTGTGCGGAATATATTTACAGCAGAATGCAGTTTTATTTTCTTGCTGTTTGGTGGACTTTTTGTTTTGTTTATTGCCGTTCATCAGCTGTGTTTTTTATTTGTAGTCAGCTGTTTTATTTGCTTGATTATTTAAACGTAACCGTGAAGTATTTGCACGGTAATTTGTAATTGGCAAAATTATTAAAATCGATCGAATAATTTTTGCATCGTGAGACCATAGTAGCATCAGTTGGCCAACACTATCCTTCTCCGAATTTCAAAACTGATGTCAATAGTTTTATTTATGGCAGTACCAAGGTATATAAAATCTTTGACTACCTCGAAGCTGTAGTTCTCAAATTCCACAGTTTGTCCGAGTCTACTGGACGTCTTGCGCGTTGATACCATCAGCTTGGTCTTCTCGCCGTTTACTTCAGCTTTGCAGCTTTATTATTCTTCAACCGATTGATTGGTATTCTGACGTCATTTTGGCTATGTGGTTTACACTCTATACCACAATCTCTTATTGGTTCTGGGGTATCTTCTTCAACGCTACTCTGTATCTGTCACCAGGTTTCTTTCTTCATCTTTACAGGAGGATGTGCTTGCACCAAATCCTTGGGTCTGGTGTTTTGACTCGTTGGTAAAAGTTCCGGACGATTGGCTCAAGCTCATGTTTTTCTCGTTCTTTCTTCTTCTTTCTGAAAATACGTTTCTCCTCTCTTCTCCTTTTCTCTCGATAATTCTCCATCACATTACGTGTTGCTACTGTCTGCAGGGTTGTCCTATACGCTGTATTTTTCACATCAGTAGCATTACGACACTCCCGATCTTCTCGCCGTTTACTTCAGCTTTGCAGCTTTATTATTCTTCAACCGATTGATTGGTATTCTGACGTCATTTTGGCTATGTCGTTTACACTCTATACCACAATCTCTTATTGGTTCTGGGGTATCTTCTTCAACGCTACTCTGTATCTGTCACCAGGTTTCTTTCTTCATCTTTACAGGAGGATGTGCTTGCACCAAATCCTTGGGTCTGGTGTTTTGACTCGTTGGTAAAAGTTCCGGACGATTGGCTCAAGCTCATGTTTTTCTCGTTCTTTCTTCTTCTTTCTGAAAATACGTTTCTCCTCTCTTCTCCTTTTCTCTCGATAATTCTCCATCACATTACGTGTTGCTACTGTCTGCAGGGTTGTCCTATACGCTGTATTTTTCACATCAGTAGCATTACGACACTCCCGATTATACCACGGGTTTCTTGATTGGTAACCAAGTGCTAGTGCTGCTAACTACCAGGCTTTTTGCTGCCGCTAAGTCAATCATCCTCATACCGATGTCGGATGTTTCTTCATGGAGGCTGAATTTTCCGACGGTGGGACCAAAAATATATCTCCTAGCAGAATTTTAATGTCATGACCAGGGCAGCGGTCATATGCAGTTTATAGACGCTCATAAAAAATGTATTTGGTTTGTCTTCCGTCGTAAATAAGACTGATGTAAAGAACTTCGCTTTTATACGGATTATAAGAACTCGCTCATCTACTGGAGTGAATATGGAGACGAGGTCTTTTATTCTCCTATTAACCATAAATCCGCAGCCAAATTCACGTCTCGTTTCATAGCAGCGTAATCATCTGATTTACGTACGCCAGTCCCTTTCCATTGCATTTCCTGTAAGGCAATAATATCGGCTTTGTACTTCTTCAGTACATCCGCCAGGGCGAAAACTGCGCCTGTTCTGTACAACGTGCGCACATTCCAAGTAAAATATGTCCAAAATACTTAATATTTTGGACAATGGTATTAGGGGTATACTAAAATGTGAATCGATATATTCAAAGCTGTATTTTAAATATTGAGACTATGATTCCTTCGATACCGAATTTGTGGGACCTGTGGTGATTATATCGATGTGTTGTACACTGAATGACAAATTTAATATACACTTCTCCTTATGGTGGATAGAGAATAATGGAATTTTTAAATCTGCGACGATTCTCGTCGACTTCGGTCAATTTCCATTACAATTCGATTACAAATGTCCCGAGTGCTTTGATTCAAAAATACGGATCGTGATTAAAAAATATGGCCCTATGTTATGATGTGCAAAGTTTTGACCAAATAAATTATTCCATTCACCAATCTGACTGCCATGTAGACGGCCAATGTGTAATTCTACATAAAATTCGTATTTTGTTCAAAAATGGTGTCGTACCGATGTAGAAAATAAAAAATATTGCATTTATTTTTATTAAGAACATTTTATAAATATATTTATTTAATTATAACATTATGTTTATTTTGTGTTACAAATATTTCCCTAAATTGGTCAGTGTTTAAATGCAAGCTGCATATGGTACATACAAATATACTTAACATACATACATGCTGATTGATGGTGGTGTATATATCTTATAGAAAGAATAATATTTTTTATATTCGGCAATAATATCAATATAAAGGCTTTATAAATAACTTATAATTAATTATTATGATAATCGATATAATAGAGATAATATATTGTATAGAGTAAGATTTTTTTGGGGCACAGTTCCAAAATAAAATCGAACCCAACAAGTGATTGCTTATAAATTTACTCTGCAATTAGATTTTAATGAGATTCGAATAAATCATCATACCTTAGTTAAATTTTTTCATTAGAAGAAATTTGAAGAAATGTATTTTCTTATTTCAATTATTAATTCGCGCTTAATTATCGGACAAAGCTATTGACATTTGTATTCTCATCGAATACAACTATGTATATAAGGCTTTGTATTTATTAGGTATATGGATTGAAATGTTTGAATAAAGGTTTAAAAATTCTCAAAACTTCTCTTCTCGAGTCATATTAGAAATGTACAATTGGTCTCATTTAGGTATAAGAGGGGCCATTTCAATCTCATTTTGGAACCTTCCCTTTAAATCTTTCTATTAAGTAATTTTTGTTGCAGATATTTTTACGAGATTATTTGTAAAGTTTCTTAAATTATATAAAATAAAATATATTAAATTAAATGTACATATATCATTATAGAGTGGTATAATAATAAACATATAAAATATTACAACAACATGTTTGTTTTTTAATTATCTTTATAATTATATTAAGTGGGGTTTTTTTGTATTCATTCATTATCTTTAAGATAAATAAACATTTATAATGAATATTATATATGTAAGTAGGCAGGGGTCAATGCACACTAATATTAAAGTAAATATTGGAGTTTTTTTGGGGAGAGGTCTTACTTAAAATATTTTGGAATACAAACGAAAAAATGGGGAGAAGGGCGAAAAAAAAACATACATGGGGCCAAAATTGAGTTTTATATAGAAATATATATTAATGGGAATTGGAATATGGACTGGATTCAAGAATGTAGAGTTACAATGTAAACTCAAAAAACGAATTTTTATTATAAGGTCCATTTTTGCATGATTCAAAAACAATTTTATTATTTGGATAATTGTTGTAGCTCAATTTTCATGAATTCCATTCCATGTTTATATTCCAATAGAAATGGATGTTTTGTAAAATGAATACTAATATTGATTCATAGTATTTGATAGAAAATTAACATAGTTTTACTTCCTAATATCTAAAATGGTTTTCTATTTTTCACAAGCACAGATATCATCATTATAATCCTTATTTGAAGGATTAACAATAAATACATACATATATTTAAAATAAGTATTTTTCTTCTTTTTAGTTTACTGCATTCCAATTTTGAATTCCAACTACTCCCAAAAAATTATTTTGTAACACTTTCACTACCCTCGATAATGGTAGTATTGAATATAGCACGACACAATCGTACAATGCCATGTGAAAAACGTCCATAGCATTTGGGTTTATCCTTCCAGGCAATACACACATAATAGAATGGTACACCGGCAAGGGTTATGGCCAAACCCATCAGGAGATTCATTGGCTGTGTAAAACTGGGCATCAACACCAAAACAATACAGCATATGATGAAAATAATCGGCAGAGCTGTATGTACTCGAATCGGACGTGGTATATCGGGTCTGAAAAAAAGGTAAGCAAAAAATTAATATGAGAAAATAAGGAACGAAAAATAAGGAAAAAATTTTGCACTGGCCTAATTAGATAGGGACCATTAGGTCTCCTTATAGATGATTATAAAGTTTTATCATAAAAAACCGACCTGTTAGTTTTTATACAAGACCAAGAAGTATTCTCATAGAATACTAGGAAGACTTCTCTTTGAAGATCAACAGAACATCAGGACTTCTGATAGAAGACCATTAGATATTTTGTTAGAAGAAAAATAGGTCTTTTGATAGCAGTAAATTGTGCCTTCCTCTACAAGAAGACAACTAGGTCCTTTCCTAGAATACAACTAGCTCTTCTTCTAGAAGGCAATTAGCCCATCTTCTAGAAGGCAACTAGTTTCTCTCCTAGAAGACTACTAGGTATTCTCCTAAAACACCATTAGGCCTTTTTATGTCTTTTGTCTTTTGATGGTGCCTTGAAAAAGTCTTTAAAAAATCCACGCCTTTTGATGGTGCCTTGAAAAAGTCTTTAAAAAATCCACGCCTTTTGATGGTGCCTTGAAAAAGTCTTTAAAAAATCCACGCCTTTTGATGGTGCCTTGAAAAAGTCTTTAAAAAATCCACGCCTTTTGATGGTGCCTTGAAAAATTCTCTAAAAAATCCACGCCTTTTGATGGTGCCTTGAAAAAGTCTTTAAAAAATCCACGCCTTTTGATGGTGCCTTGAAAAAGTCTTTAAAAAATCCACGCCTTTTTCATTGTTGGTCCTTTGAAAAAGTCTTTAAAAAATCCACGCCTTTTTCATTGTTGGTCCTTTGAAAAAGTCTTTAAAAAATCCACGCCTTTTTCATTGTTGGTCCTTTGAAAAAGTCTTTAAAAAATCCACGCCTTTTTCATAGTTGGTCCTTTGAAAAAGTCTTTAAAAAATCCACGCCTTTTTCATTGTTGGTCCTTTGAAAAAGTCTTTAAAAAATCCACGCCTTTTTCATTGTTGGTCCTTTGAAAAAGTCTTTAAAAAATCCACGCCTTTGGCTTTGAAAGTCCTTTGAAAAATGTCTTTAAAAAATCTACGCCTTTGGCTTTGAAAGTCCTTTGAAAAATATCTTTACAAATTTAACGCCTTTGGCTTTGAAAGTCCTTTGAAAAATGTCTTAAAAAATCTACCCCTTTGGCTTTGAAAGTCCTTTGAAAAATGTCTTTAAAAAATCCACGCCTTTTGTTTTGTTGTTCCTTTGAAAAATGACTTTAAAAAATCCACGCCTAACGCATTGATAGTCCTCGTAAAAATTTATTTAAAAAATCCACGCCTAAGGCATTTATTGTAATCGTAAAAAATTATTTAAAAAGTCCACGCCTCAGGCATTGATAGTCGCTGTAAAAATTTGTTTAAAAAAGCACGCCTATTGTTTCGATAGTTCTGATAGCTGACCTCTTACTATTAAAAATGACACCTTAACCATTCCACATAAAATTCTAATGAACCGCAAATTGATCTTAAAATTTAAAACTAATTTATTAAAATTTATCGCCATCTCAAAGTATTTAATCAAAAAATAAAAATTCATTTCCTGATCTATTCGACTTACCTCGTCTTCCTTAGCCACAACATGCCAGCTATACTGGCGACCACAGATAACCACAATACCGAACTAAAGTAATTGATTAAGGCATAGACATCGGCTGTCAGCAGCATCAGCAATGACATCAGACACTATAAATTACAATTAGAAATTTTTAATACTGGAGTGAAAAAAAAAAATAAAATTTCAATATTATTTACTTACAGAAAATATCAAAGAAGGGATGGGCGTCTGTTGCTTGATATGGAATAGTTGAAAGAATTTTGGTAAATGACCCTCCTGAGCTCCGGTAGCAAAGAGTCGGGCCGATGTAAACAGGACACCATTGACACCTCCGAAGGTACTCAAGGCAACAAAAATGGGTACCATAAATGCCAACGAGCCAAACATTCGATTACCAAATGTTACCGCCACGGCTAGGGAGCTGAGCATCTCTGTTTTTGAGACCACAGCGAAATAGGCTAGATTTACCAGAACATAAATGCCGGTGACCAGAGGCATAGCAATCCAAATGGCACGGGGTAGATTTCTGAAAAGGAAGACAAAGAAGAAAAATGGATTAATAAGAAAAATATTAAAAAATCTGAAATCTTTTTGAAAGGATATTCAATCCAATAGGCGTGGATGTTTTAAAGAGAATTTCAAAGAACCAACAAGGAAAAAGGCGTGGATTTTTTAAAGAAATTTTTCAAAGGACCAACAATGAAAAGGGCGTGGATTTTTTAAAGAAATTTTTTAAAGGACCAACAATGAAATAGTCGTGAATTTTTTAAAGAAATTTTTAAGGGACCAACATTAAAAAATGCGTGGATTTTTTAAAGAAATTTTTCAAAGGACCAACAATGAAAAGGGCGTGGATTTTTTAAAGAAATTTTTTAAAGGACCAACAATGAAAAAGGCGTGAATTTTTTAAAGAAATTTTTTAAGGGACCAACATTAAAAAATGCGTGGATTTTTTAAACAAATTTTTCAAAGGACCAACAATGAAAAGGGTGTGGATTTTTTAAAGGACCAACAATGAAAAAGGCGTGAATTTTTTAAAGAAATTTTTTAAGGGACCAACATTAAAAAATGCGTGGATTTTTTAAAGAAATTTTTCAAAGGACCAACAAGGAAAAAGGCGTGGATTTTTTAAAGAAATTTTTCAAAGGACCAACAATGAAGAAGGCGTGGATTTTTTAAAGAAATTTTTCAAATGACCAACAAAGCCAAAGCGAGGACTTTTTAAAGAAATTTTTCAAATGACCAACAAAGCCAAAGCGAGGATTTTTTAAAGAAATTTTTCAACGGACCAACAAAGCAAAAGGCGTGGATTTTTTAAAGAAATTTTTAAAAGGACCAACAAAGCAAAAGGCGTGGATTTTTTAAAGAAAATTTTCAAAGGACCAACAATGAAAAAGGCGTGGATTTTTTAAAGAAAATTTTCAAAGGACCAACAATGAAAAAGGCGTGGATTTTTTAAAGAAATTTTTCAAAGGACCAACAATGAAAAAGGCGTGGATTTTTTAAAGAAATTTTTCAAAGGACCAACAATGAAGAAGGCGTGGATTTTTTAAAGAAATTTTTCAAATGACCAACAAAGCCAAAGCGAGGACTTTTTAAAGAAATTTTTCAAATGACCAACAAAGCCAAAGCGAGGATTTTTTAAAGAAATTTTTCATTTTGCATTTTTTAAATAAATTTTTCAAAGGACCAACAAAGCCAAAGCGTGCATTTTTTAAATAAATTTTTCAAAGGACCAACAAAGAAAATTTTCAAGATTTTTTTAAGGACCAACAAAGAAAATTTTCAAGATTTTTTTTAAGGACGAACAAAGCAAAAGGCGTGGATTTTTTAAAGAAAAATTTTAAGAAATTTTTTTAAGGACCAACAAAGCAAAAGGCGTGGATTTTTTAAAGAAAGTTTTCAAGAAATTTTTTTAAGGACCAACAAAGCAAAATGCGTGGATTTTTTAACGAAAATTTTCAAGAATTTTTTAAGGACCAACAAAGCAAAATGCGTGGATTTTTTAAAGAAAATTTTCAAGAAGTTTTTAAGGACCAACAAAGCAAAATGCGTGGATTTTTTAAAGAAAAATTTTCAAGAAATTTTTTAAAGGACCCACAAAGCAAAAGGCGTGGATTTTTTAAAGAACATTTCAAAGGACCTTGAGATTATTTTAATATCATCAGTGTGCACCATTCCCCTTGGAGTAAACGCATGTGCGTCAGAGCGTCCTTACACACACATAAACATTCAATTCAAACTACATCAACCCTAAACTGCAATTACAACAACAAAGAAGAAACCCCAGTTAACGAAGTTCATTCATTTACAAGGATATTCGATAGCGCCTTCATTAAAGCAACAACTTGTTGAATGTAACACGTTTCAACATCGTTATCTTCTTCTTCTTTTTTGCTTTATCATCAGCTTTTAGATATACAACTGGGAATCCTTTGTAGTACTAATGTCCTCGTCCTGCTAAATGTAGATGACTTGTAAGTTTTGTTGCTTCGGAGTTTGATTTTTAGCTTAAGGAAACCACTTAAGCGAAACGGCATCACACACAATGAGATGATGCAGAAGAAGAAGAAGAGAAACAAATAACTTAAATGGGTCACATTAAGGATTGCAGGGTGAGGAGGAAGGGTAGAAAGCAACAAGTCCTTTTGCAAACTATTCAAGAATCACTAAAAGTATCCTTTCCCCCTATCTGCTGTGGGGAATGTTGGAAGCTTTTAAAGATATTGGTTTAAATGTCAGAGATTAAATGCCAGAGATAGAGAGGGAGGAGGCAGTGGGAGAGGGTAGGAAGATAGTGTGGGAGTTATGCTAATAACTTACTTGTATGGATCCTGTAATTCTTCGGTAACAAAATTCAAATAATTCCAACCACCAAAGGCAAATAATCCCGAATAGAAGGCAAAGCCAATATTCTCAACGCCATAATTGCCCTCCCACATATTTTCGAAATTCTCCATTTGTCCAGTGGCCATTTGATAAACACCAGCCAGAATGATTAATGCCAATGCTAAGAGCTTGCCAGCAGTAAAAATATCTTGAACTTTCATGGCCCATTTCACGGAGAGACAATTGATGGCTGTGAGGAGACCTGGAAAGAGAAAAAATAAATTAATAACAAACTTTTGAGAGTATTTAGGCTCCAATAGATGTGTTGATTTTTAATAATATTTTTATTGTGTGTCTGTCTAATAGAGGTATGGATTTTTAATAATATTTTTATTGTGGATCTCTGGGGGTGGGGATTTTAAAAAGATGTTTTTATTAAGGGTCTGTTGGAGGTGGGGATTTTAAAAAATATTTTTTTTTGAGGGTCTATAGAAATGGGGATAATATTAATAATATTTTAATAATATTTTTATTGAGCCATTTTACTTACACAAACACACAGCACCCAATAGTTTTACGGCATTTTCCGGCGGTTCACAATCCTCAAAAAATGGTTTGGCTGCATATTGGGCAAAAGTCAATGCCACAATTGTCTGAAAGACACCAAGAAAAACAAGAAATTGATTTCAAAATGAAATGTTTACAATCTGTTTAATTAAATTTTATTAGAAAATAATTTAATTCATATTTGTCTTCATAGTGCCCAGCATAGCATCGTAGTTGATTGAATGGAACTATGACAACAAAATCATGAAGGAGAGGCGATTGACATATCCCAGCAAACGCTGTGATATGTTTTACAAAATAAGAAGGAAGAAAAACAGAAGATCACATAAAGCAGGTCTTCTACAGCTAGAAGACCTACTAAGGGTCTACAACATACAGAAGATCTTCTAAATAAAAAATCTTCTCCTAAAATTGTATCTTGAAATGAAAATGTTTTCTGGTATATTCCAAGTCAGATTTTTTACTTTTGCTTTCATTCACTCTCTTTTTTTAATAAAAAACGAAGGTTGTCATCCATTCGCTTTTGTTTTTTCCACTTTGTAAATTAATAAAAAAAATAAAAACAAATGTGAACAACAAACATTACAACCTTCCTCAAGAACAACAACAACAACTTCGAATTAATTTATTCCATGACTGGGTGACAACGCATGCAACAGATGTCGCAATTTTTATGTTGTCACATAAATCTCGAAGTGATCGATTGATTTATGGAGGTCTGAGGGTTATTTTTTATGGAGGTCTCAGGGTCTTGTAAGAGGCGTGAATTTTTAAAAATATTTTTTATGGAGGTCTGAGGGTCTTGTAAGAGGCGTGGATTTTTAAAAATATTTTTTATGGAGGTCTGAGGGTCTTGTAAGAGGCGTGGATTTACAAAAATATTTTTATGGAGGTCTGAAGGGTATTTTAAGAGGCGTGGATTTTTAAAAATATTTTTTTATGGAGGTCTGAGGGTCTTGTAAGAGGCGTGGATTTTTAAAAATATTTTTTATGGAGGTCTGAGGGTCTTGTAAGAGGCGTGGATTTTTAAAAATATTTTTTATGGAGGTCTGAGGGTCTTGTAAGAGGCGTGGATTTTTAAAAATATTTTTTATGGAGGTCTGAGGGTCTTGTAAGAGGCGTGGATTTTTAAAAATATTTTTTATGGAGGTCTGAGGGTCTTGTAAGAGGCGTGGATTTTTAAAAATATTTTTTATGGAGGTCTGAGGGTCTTGTAAGAGGCGTGGATTTTTTAAAAATATTTTTTATGGAGGTCTGAGGGTCTTGTAAGAGGCGTGGATTTTTAAAAATATTTTTTATGGAGGTCTGAGGGTCTTGTAAGAGGCGTGGATTTTTAAAAATATTTTTTATGGAGGTCTGAATGGTCTTGTAAGAGGCGTGGATTTTTAAAAATATTTTTTATGGAGGTCTGAGGGTCTTGTAAGAGGCGTGGATTTTTAAAAATATTTTTTATGGAGGTCTGAGGGTCTTGTAAGAGGCGTGGATTTTTAAAAATATTTTTTATGGAGGTCCTTAGGCCTGAATTTTTTTAAAAATATTTTTTATGGAGTTTTTAAAAATAAGAGGCCTGGATTTATAAAAATATTTTTTATGGAGGTCTGAGGGTCTTGTAAGAGGCGTGGATTTTTAAAAATATTTTTATCAACCCCTAAGAGGCGCGGATTTTTAAAAATATTTTTTATGGAGGCGTGGATTTTTTAAAAATATTTTTTATGGAATATCCTTAGGCCTGAATTTTTTTAAAAATATTTTTTATGGAGGTCTGAGGGTCTTGTAAGAGGCGTGGATTTTTAAAAATATTTTTTATGGAGGTCTGAGGGTCTTGTAAGAGGCGTTTAAAAATATTTTTTTGTAAGGCGTGGATTTTTAAAAATATTTTTTATCCACCACTAAGAGGCGTGGATTTTTAAAAATATTTTTTATGGAGGTCTGAGGGTCTTGTAATAGGCGTGGATATTGAAAAATATTTTTTATGGTGGTCTGAGGGTCTTGTAAGAGGCGTGGATTTTTAAACATATTTTTTATGGTGGTCTGTGGGTCTTGTAAGAGGCGTGGATTTTTAAAAATATTTTTTATGGAGGTCTGAGGGTCTTGTAAGAGGCGTGAATTTTTAAAAATATTTTTTTATGGAGGTCTCAGGGTCTTGGCGTGGATTTTTAAAAATATTTTTTATGGAGGCTCCAATAGAGGCGTGGATTTTTAAAAATATTTTTTAAGTTTAAAATATTTTTATTGAGGTTCCAATAGAGCCGTGGATTTTAAAAATATTTTTATTGAGGCTCCAATAGAGGCGTGGATTTTTAAAAATATTTTTTTATGGAGGCTCCAATTGGGGCGTGGATTTTTAAAAATATTTTTTTTATGGAGGCTCCAATAGGGGCGTGGATTTTTAAAAATATTTTTTTTATGGAGGCTCCAATAGGGGCGTGGATTTTTAAAAATATTTTTTTTATGGAAACTCCAATAGGGGCGTGGATTTTTAAAAATATTTTTTTTATGGAAACTCCAATAGGGGCGTGGATTTTTAAAAATATTTTTTTTATGGAAACTCCAATAGGGGCGTGGATTTTTAAAAATATTTTTCATGGAGGCTCCAATAGAGGCGTGAGGGTCTATTAAAGGCGTGTATTTTAAATTTTGTTTTTGTAATTTCTAGAATATTTATACTCAACTTTTGTTGTTGTTGTTCAATACAATCGGAAGTAGCAGTTGTTATTGTTTTAGGCGAAAATTGACTAATTGATCAATTAAATTAATTTCAATTAATAATTGAATGAAAGAGATATGAACTACTTCTAAATTTTTCTTTGAGTTTGAGGAAATTTGTGAGTAATATTTCATCATATCTAATGGGGTTTTTTATTTAATTTTTGTGTTGGTCACACTATTGACAATTTTAAAAGCGTTCAAGCACAGGGGGATTTTCCGTTTTCAAATTTAATATATTGTAATTAACCGGTTATCTATTGATTTCTGAAAAAAAAATTCTTGTATAACATAAATATCTGCAAAATTTTCACAAGTGGTTAATTTCAAGTTATATTGGAATTTTGGTAAACTACCCAACGCATAATTGTCTGTCTATCTGTCATTTCAAAAATAATATTTGTATTTCCCCTTACATATTTAATCCATGTTCAAATTTTCATATCGTTTTTTTTTTAAGTTTAATGTCAATGCCCCAGCATTTTGTCTCGCTTGTGGTGTTTACGCATAAAGTGTAAGCATTTTTTTCTGGGTCACGAAATAAATCGAAATACGAAAATTATAAAAAAAATATTTTTCAATTTGTACATTTTGGGGTATTTAGCCATCCCGAAATTTACTTTGACTTTTTTCGAATATTATTTTCCACCAAGATTTTCTCTTTATTGCTAGGCCATAATAAATGCATCAGAATGCATCAGTCAATATCGCCCTCCGCTTCAGTAATCATTTAACCTTTAAATTATTTGTTTATTCATTATTGAAAGGCATTAAAATGTTTTGCTATTTTCTCCGACACACGCCAAGATAAACACGACTTGACGTCGAGAATTTTTATGAACTTAGCCAATAAATTTTCTCATCAAATTTGGTTATTATGTTTTGGTGACGAAGCAAGATTTTCGATTAAGGTGTAATGTAATTTTTTTCGTATCAAAAAATGCAACAACATGATGAAAGGAAATAATAGACCCTCAATAAAAATATTTTTAAAAATCCACGCCTTGAATTATAGACCCTCAATAAAAATATTTTTAAAAATCCACGCCTTGAATTATAGACCCTCAATAAAAATATTTTTAAAAATCCACGCCTTGAATTATAGACCCTCAATAAAAATATTTTTAAAAATCCACGCCTTGAATTATAGACCCTCAATAAAAATATTTTTAAAAATCCACGCCTTGAATAAGCCCTCAATAAAAAATAATTTTAAAAATCCACGCCTTGAATAATAGACCCTCAATAAAAATATTTGTGAAAATTCACGCCTTGAATAATTGACTCTCAAAAAAATATTTTTAAAAAAATCCACGCCTTGAATAACCCCTCAATAAAAATATTTTTAAAAAATCCACGACTTGAATAACCCCTCAATAAAAATATTTTTAAAAAATCCACGCCTTGAATAACCCCTCCTTAAAGAAATTTAAAAAAAATGCACGCCATGAATAACCCCTCAATAAAAATATTTTTAAAAAACCCACGCCTTGAATAACCCCTCAATAAAAATATTTTTATTGAGGTCAAACTCGTGGTCAACATTTTTTTTTTTTTTTGATTTAATTAGAATCTACACTAATTCAAGAATGTCTCTACAAAATTTCAAGTGAAAATCTCAAGAACTCTTGAAGATATAGCCGATTTATTGTGTTAGCATCAAGTCACGGCTAAAGGGCTTCTCAAACTTTAAACGCGTTTTTCTCTTTTGCGAATGGCGGGCACGATAACTCAAAAACTAATAACCCAATCGATTCCAAATTTTTACACGTTTCTCTGTGAATGTATAGCTATCGTATGAACTAGGATAAAGACAATCGGTGAAGATCTTCCTTATTTTTTAACTTGGTTTTTGGTAAAAAATCGGCGATTTTCCAAAAATATTTTTTCAAAGGTCCGCCATTTTGTTAATTTTAGAGCGAAGTCAATAATCCTAGTTCATACGAGAGCCAGACATGTACTATTTCTAACACCTTTAGAATTTTCGGATTCCGATGTTCCAGTGAGGAGTTGCCAGTCGTCAAAAATAAGGACGAAAATATACATGGGAGATATATCTAAATCTGAATCGATTTTTCCCAATTTCAATAGGGTTCGTCCTTGGTCCAAATAAATGAGCTAGGCCAAATTTTATTCAATTCGAATCAAAAATGCGACCTGTACTTTGTTTACAGGCAGACGGACGGACATACATGCATAAATCGATTTAAAAAGTTATTCTATGCATATTCTCAAAAGGAGTCATGTGTCTATCTCGTTTCCTTTTGCCTGTTACAAACATATGCACAAAGACATAATACCCTGTACCACAGTTTGGTGAAGGATATAAATACTTACTCCGTATATTTGAAGACACCCGTTGGTGCTATAAAAATACCCGAACCGATAATGGTACCAACAATTATAGCTACACCATTTATCAGGGTCAGTTTGCGTTTAAGTACAATTTTATCACCCTCTCCTCCTCCGCCATTAGTCTGTGACAAAGGTTGGTCTTCACCGATACCGCTGCCATTTTTTTCCTGTGATTTTTGACGAATTGGTAACTCTACGAGATCGGTGGTTACACCGTTGCCATAACGTTCCGTCATTGTTAGTTTGGGGTTTCTTGTATTTTTTTTATTTATTTTTAATTCTTTATTTTTTAATTTTAATTATTTTAAACACCAATTAGTTAAACAGCAAAAAACACTTTAGAATTATTTGTCTTTTTTATTTGAACATAGTTTTTAATTTATTTTTTTTTTCGTTCTGTAAATAAATTGTATTTTGTTAAAATTATTTACACAAGTCGAGACCAATATCTTCCGAACGTTCCGTTCTCCACATCCACTGGCGAATAGCTTCAAAATACAACTGAAATTTTGTTTGGGACCAACATTTTTAACATTAACAACAGAGCAGCAATTCTCAATTTTTTTACAAAAATTACAAAAAAAAAATCATTCACCAGTGTTGGCACTGTAAATATTTGGGTGAGCACGAATCAGGGATGGAAATGTGTGAATTTTAATTTTTACAACACTTTCTGGCACTGAAGTTGGAAAACTGGGCTATAACTGGAAGTTGCTGCTATAATATGCAAAATATCGAAAAAGGGGAGCGAAATATTTATAGGGGATATATGTCAACACATGGACCCTCCAAAAAACCCGGTATGCAATAACCCCTCAAAATGGCAAAGATGGGGCGGAACCAATGTATGGAAACTATGCCAACACATGGACCTATATTGAAGTATTTCTTTAACTACTTGTTTTTATCCTTCAAGAGCCCTGAATACCTTCAAGAGCCCTGAATACTTCAGTGTGAATATTTGACAAAAATCTTCTAAATACTAAAAATCGGACTATGTTAACAAATTGCCTGCACATATTTTTTTACCCTCAAACAATACGGAATGTCAATTTGCAGCCACTTGGGATGAAAAAGTTGGCCAAAACCTTCAAAACGCCGAACAAAAATATTCTGCTCAAGAAGATATTCTTTATGGGGTCTCCCATAAATGATACGAGGTGTTTCAAAAGATACACATCCGATATACTTTATGTAAAATTCCAATCTACCCTGATACTGCATATTTTATGTGTTTTTTGAAAATGTACCAATTGCCGTAATTTGCCATCACTGACACACACCCCTATTTCCTTTTTGTTAATAATTAACAGTGATGTGAAATTGTTTAGGTACAGAATCGTAAAATACGATTGGACCTCCATTATTCTACTATCGGATAACAAGAGTAATTCGAATAACAGAAAATCGGTTATTTGTGATACCCTACACAATTAACATTAAACTTCTACGGAGCTAATTCCCGTGTCAGGACAAAATTTCGCAACTATTATATTCGAATACAGTGCTAGAATCTACTATTAATTGAAATTAGTTTCGATTTTCCCCTTAAAAAGTTAGACACCACTTTTTGTGTACGGAAAAATGCCAATATATTTGTCTCTCTAAACCTAGGTCCATTCGACGCACTAATAATTGACCTACAATTTAAAAAAGAGCCAAGCTTATTCATTACGCATTTCTCCTTCAGCGTGTAGAATTTCGGGGCGTCGGATCGTAATTGGAGTCTCAATAGTAATACGGTGTTTACATCAGAAATTTTTACCGGGATAACCTAATTTATGAGGATTTATTTGGCATATATTCAAAGGAATTGACAATAAACCCACTGGGTTTACCAAATCCGGTACAATATAATCGTACTTCAAAGTTGGGTCGTTCCGAAACGAATTATACCGCAAAAGTAACGATGGGAATTAGATGCGGTTCATTCGCCCTTCTAATTCCCGTGTCAGAACAAAATTTCGCAACATTTTCGATCTATAAATTAATCTCATATTAATCGAAATTAGTTTCGATTTTGATTCGTTGCGCATATCTCCAGCGTGTCGAATTTCGGGGCATTCGGATCGTAATTGGGATCTCAATAGGGACTAGAACATTAAAGTTGGGTCGTTCCAGAATGAATTAATCCGCAAAATGAACGATCGGAATTAGATGCGGTTTATTCGCCCTTCTACATCCGTTTTCTTTTGGTTCATTTTCATACCCCCACAATAGTCTGGAGGGTATATTAATTTTGTTTATCCGTTTGTACCTCATCGAAATAATCATTTCTGACCCCATTAAGTTGATCTTGATCTACAACTTCCATATATGGACAGCCCCAATTTTCGGTATTTTGGGGTTCTTGAGCGCGTTTTTCAACCGAATTCTCTGAAGTTTCTCCGTAAAAAATTATAAATATAGGCCCTCTTTTTCTGGTAGTCCCCATACAAAGTTTAGGAATGGTCGAACACATGTATCGGGATATTTTCAGCTAAACCCACACAGCCACATAATTGCGGTCTATATTTTAATTACAGGTTCCAGACAGGGTGGAGATTTATAGCTGAATCGGTTATAAATGAATTATTTTCTTCAAATTGTGAATTACTTAGCTCCACTTCCACGTTAAGGTTTATTACAGTCGGTACTCGATAATGTTAGAATGAATATAAAATACATGAGAAGCTGCAGAATGGACGGACACATATATCTGGACCGGTTCAGCTTAAGATTTATTATTATATTTCCAATTATGAATTTACTTAGCTCCACCTCCAGGTCAAGGCTTATTACTGTTTTACACGATAATGTCCAAAATAATATAAAGTACATGGGTCTATGTCTTTAAAGGAAACAATTACGTGTTAAAAGTTTTTGATCTGTCTGAACAGTTTAAAGTCTGCCTACAAGGGCACAATTATGAATGGCGAGTTGAAAAATGTAACAACTGGTGAGGATAACCATGCTCAATTCCACATACAAAATTCTTGTACAAATAATACCGAAAATAATTCGAAGGCAAATAGAAAATATTATGAGACATGAATAAGTTGGCTTCAGTCCAAATGGATGTTGTGTGGACGCAGGACAACACCCTACGGGTCATACGAGAACAGTGGTGGGCATAACCAAATTGACAGTAAGTGTAGGTGAGCGTAACTGAGAATTTATCATTAAAATGACTGACGAAAGGGAAAGCGTGGTTAACTATAGAAGCTCAGTTACGGTAACGCATATAGCTGAACATGACTATACTAGAACTTTCTATAGAATTATATATCTCTCTACATATTTATCTACTTCAAAAATGTTTTCACCAATGGAAAATAACCCACCGTTTCGCACAAACGCAGGAGTTAAGCAACGGTACCCTCTGTCAACCCTTACTGTCCACCGTTATTAATGTTGGAGCTATTCCGATAAAGGAACAATAGGAACTATGTACAGTTCTTTAAAGGTCGTTTACATTGAACCGGATTTGGTTAACCGAGTGGGTTTAAATTTTCAATTCCTTTGAATATATTCCAAATAAATCCTCATAAAGTAGGTTAACCCGCTAAAAAGTTCTAATGTAAATGCCGTATTAGTTCTCATTCCTTTATTCCCATATTCTTCCCTCGTTCTCGTTCTTTTTTCATGACCTAGCCAACGTAGTCGCTGCAGCTCGTCTGACTATGTATGAGAATATATGGTACAACTCATGGTTTATTCGACGGCGATATTCCCCGGCGACGCAGATCGGCCCATAGATCTTTCGGAGAATTTTTCTCTCAAAACACTCCAAGAGCTGTCTCATCTACCTGCGCAAGTATCCATGCGTTAGATCCATATAGCAGCACGGGTAGTATCAGCGTCTTGTAGAATATGAGTTTGGTCTGGCGAGAGGTGGCCTTGCTTTTGAGTTGCTTACTCAGGCCATAGTAGCATCTGTTGGCCAACACTATCCTTCTCCGAATTTCAAAACTGATGCCATTAGCTTTATTTATTGTGGTACCAAGGTATATAAAATCTTCGACTGCCTCGAAGCTGTAGTTCTCAAGTTCCACAGTTGGTCGGAGTATACTGGACGTCTTGCGTGTTGATACCATCAGCATGGTCTTCTCTCTATTTACTGTCAGACCCACTTTGCAGACTCCTTCTCAATTTGTTCAAAGGTTACTGTTAGCGCTCGCAATGTTCGACCCATTATATCGATGTCATCAGCGTAGGCGAGTAACATGTGTTTGGTGTCCACCTTTGCCTCTCGTATGACATTTTCGAGCAGGATGTTAGATAGGTCACACGACAAATTTTTAGCTCGTTCGGTATTAAAGGGCTCCGAGAGATACTTTCCGAAGTTAACTGCTATGTTGTGCCAGTTAAATTTATCCTGTATAGCCGTATTATTTTGCAGGAATGCCGAACGCAGACATGCCTTGAAACTCATCTGAACGGATAGGGCTGTCGAATGTGACTTTATAGTCGACGAATAGGTGGAATGTGTAGATGTGTTTTTCGTGGGTCTTTTCCAGGATTTGGCGCAGCGCGAACATCTGGTCAATAGTGGACTTCCCAGGCCTAAAGCCGCAGTGGTATGGCGCAATAATGTTTTTGACCATTGGTAGCCCATCGGCTCCTGCTGCTTTATTATTCTTCAGTCGATTGATTGCTATTCTGACCTCATCATGGCTAGATGGTAACACTCTATTTCGCCATCTCTTAGGGGTATCTTCTTCACCGCCACTATTTGATAGTACTATTTTCTCGATTTAGGTAGAAACTTTTCCTGGCTTAAATTCTGGATTACAATTACCTAAGGTGCATGTTTCACAAAATTTTTGAAATTGTCACAGGTACCATTTATGGTCCCGATAACGACGACGTTTATTATTGAGGAACTTTATATTTCCGGAGATTCAGCGTCTCAAAAATGTTTATAAATTGTTTCACTACCCTGGAAACGTTGAGATAGGGAGCTTAAATGACAATAAGCTAATTTGGGGTTTCTTACTATCCAAGGTCAAGGGACCGGCGAAATTGGCCATTATAAGCGATATGAGTCCTAAGCGAAAACCAGCGGATTAGAATGAAGTTTCGAATTGCGTACCCGAATTTTTTTCAACTGTCCATAGGAGAAGGGTTTAAAACCACTTCCAAAGCATGGCTATTTAGAAATTATTTTTAAAATTCTCAAAGAAAACATTTTCACCAGTCGAAAACGAATGAGGTTATCCCAGTTCATCTTACACAAAGACCATTATTACTTCTT